CCCCCGGGATTAGGGTTTTCTCCTTTCAGCATCAACTCGTCGAGTCCCAACTACTGACTCGGCGAGTTGGTCACTTAACCCGCGACCAAATCCCGCTCCGACTCGGCGAGTCGGAATACCTACTCGTCGAGTCCCCTCCTTAATTTACACTTTAGTCCTTGAGCAATACTTCTAAATTTTTAGGATGTTACAGAGATGCTTGGACAGAATTGGCCCAAAGAAACCATAGTAGTCCCAATGAAACCCTAATGGTCCCAATGAAGCCCAAGTTGACCTAAAAGCCCAGCCAATTGGTTATTGGGCTAGTATTGGGTTGGAAAGCCTTATTAGGGTTTGGAAAACCCTAATTTTGGGGATTGATCGGGACCGACGTTGGAATTAATTATTAGACCTAAAATAATAATTTATTATCATTGGCAAATTAACCTAAGGCAATATTGGACTTATTGGATTAAGTCCTTAACGAGTTAAATAGGAACACTTAACCATAATTATCATTTTATGTGAAAACCCTAATTTCACTTGGGCCTTAAGTTGGGCCTTACTATTGGGCTTTGGAGATTATACTATTAATGGGATTTCCAAGAATAAGTAAATGGACTAAATAATTGTATGGGTTTTGGGATAAGGACAATGTAAGGGTTCGGGCCCAATTTGGAAAATTGGGCCATAGGTGGGCCATAACTGGGCGTTTATGATTATAGGATATTGGGCCATGGGAATACCAAGAGTTTAGACTAGACTAATTGGATGGGCCATGATGTTTGGACCTCCCCAATTTCTAGCGTAAGTGGTTTGCAATAATATGTTATATTTCTTGACCATTATTCTCAATTTATTTGGGTGTTTCCTACAAAACAAAAAACAGAAGTGTTCTCAAAATTCTTAATCTTTTCCAACCATATCAAAAACCAATTCGGTAAAACCATAAAACTTTCCAATATAACAACGGGGGTGAATATAACAATCAATAATTTCATAAATATTTTGCAACCCATGAAATCTAATTCTTCTTTTCATGCCCACACACATTCCAACAAAATGGAAAATCCGAACAAATGATTCGCATAATATATAACTTCATCTACTTCCTTCTCTTCCAAGCTCATATGCCTCCTATATATTAGGTAGAGGACCTTTACCTGACCACACATTTACCAAGTATTCTTCCATACACATTCATCAAAAATAAAAAACCTCGTCTCCAATATCACCCCACATACACATACCTCCGTGTTTTTGGATCCTTATGTTACCCTCATCTTACCACCCCACTTAAACTCACCCATCATTCCTCTCATTGTATCTTCCTGAGCTACCCAACTAACCATCATGGTTACCGATGCCTTGACTTATCATCCCGTAAAACCATCAACCCCGTCATGTCACCTTCGACGAAACCACTTTCCCTTTAAATCAGTTACACCCAGTGAGGCACCATCTTATGAGTTCATTAACATCTCTTCTATACAATCACCTATATTCAACAACCAAACATCTCTAAATTCTCTAACCCCCACCCAACCAATGTCACCTCACCCTTCGGCTCCGCCCCCATCTCCTACTCCTCCCTCTCCCTCCTCATCTGACTCATCACTCGATCAAACCTCCTCATTGCCATCCTCCACTAATTCTGATATTATGGTTAATCCATTTATTAATCACATGACAACTTATTCCAAAAGTGTTTGTAGCACCTGGTTCCTGGTACGTAAAATTTATCTAAGTATTGGTCATTTTTAGCCTTGGACTCGGCGAGTTGTAGGTCCGACTCGCCGACTAGGGACGCGGTCTGGGGGCACGTTTAAGTTGGCGACTCGGCGAGTCCATATTCTGGACTCGGTGAGTCACCACTATTTGATGAAACCCTAAATTTCAAGGGTTTGCACCCTATTTAAACCCTCATTTCCGCCCCAAGCTCGCCCCCATTCACCCTCAGAGCCCCCAACATCGTTTTTCCCTTTTCCTTGTGAGATTGAAGTGTTTTGGGTGTGTTCTTGAAGTTTTTGAGGAGAAATAAGAGTAGATCAAGAAGAGGAGAAGGAGGCCAAGCATTTTTGTGACATCTCAACGTTTTCCTTGAGGTATAGCTCGTTTCCCTTCTGTTTTCAAGCTTGTAGTCCCTGATAGCTTCATGAAAGTCCTTCTTGAGCCATTCTCCAAGCTTGTTTGTGCTTTGTGAGTTGTAATAAGTTGTTAGCCTTTAGATCTAGGCATGATTTAGTCCCTGGAGCTTGGATCTACTGCCTTTATGGAGTCATATTGCATGAAAGTCCTAGATCTACCCCTTTTGGTGCACTTTGAGCCCTAAAACCTTCATTGGTGATTATCTACACGTAAAGTTGGAAACTTTACGTGTAAACCAGGCCATAGGAACCCATATCTATGAATGGCATGGACTGGATTCAAGCAAAATCGCTTGTATAGTTTTTGCATCAGGCAGACTCGGCGAGTTGTTCATCTGACTCGGCGAGTCGGGTCGCGAGTCCCAGGGTTGTTCCCTTTTGTGTTTGCGAGTTGGAGTAGTCAGTCATAGGGTATGACTCAGTGGGTTGGAAGCCAGACTCACGCATGAAGCCACTCGGCGAGTCAGTAACATGACTCGGCGAGTTCATGGCAATCTTCTTGTCTCAAGAACAACTCGACAAGTTGTTCATACAACTCGGCGGGTCACAGCTTAGAGTGTTCTTCGGATGAAGGCGAACTCGGCGAGTTTTTCATACAACTTGGCGAGTAGGATGAAGTACTATTGGACTTGGGTATAGAGAAAGGGACTCGGCGAGTTGGCAAGCCAACTCGGCGAGTCTGGTCAACTGGCAGTTGATTGTGGCTTGACTCATGACTTGTTAAGGGTAAATGGACAATTTACCCTGAGGGCGGTTAGCAGTATTTGACTAAGTGTTTGGTGGGAATTACAGTCGGAGGATTTCCGGAGCAGCAGCAGCAGACAGACTATTCCCACACATATCAGCAGCTACTACGAGGTAAGTTACCTTCCAGTAGCGGTGGGTCTACGGCCACAATGCCGGCCCACCAGTAGGAGTTGTATGATGGATGATTGTCTTTGTGATATTCATCTAAGGTTGCTACTACCTGTGATATGTTTATGTGCTAGTATGATATGTTGCTATGTGCTAGTGACAATAGGGGGAGATAGTCCCCAGATTACCAGTCGATAGGGCCGAAGGGGCGGTCATGCCCAGCCATGCTAGATAGATTATGAGATATGTGTGTTATGTGGTAGTAGTAGGGGTGAAATAGTCCCCAGTATCCGGTCACACGGACCGAAGGGGAGACCAGCACCCAAATATGCTAGTCAGTATCCGGTCGAGAGGACCGAAGGGGAGGCAAGCTCCCAGTTATGCTAGACAGTATCCGGTCGAGAGGACCGCAGGGGTAGGTCGGGAACCTAGATATGCCTGACGATATATGCATGTTATGTGATTGTATGGTATGTGGTACGTTGGGGGAACTCACTAAGCTTCATGCTTACAGTTTTCAGTTTTGGTTTCAGGTACCTCTTCTTCGAAGGGGAAGGAGCTGGCACGGTAGCGATACATCACACACCTGCTTGTATTCTGCATTATGATATCTTCCTGGGGATTTGTACCCTGACATTATTATGTTTTATGAAATGTTTTCCAGACATGCGTTACCTTTATAAAATGTTATGATCAGTAAACGTTTTAATTCGAATGTTTTGCTAAATATATGTTTTCAAAAATGAAATTTTTGGCTCGTATTTTGGGATGTTACAGTGTTATTGTTAAACCTATCCAACACCTCATCCTTTACACATCCACCCTCTTTCCCATCCATCATTCACATTTACATGAATTAAGCACCGTAAATGGAAAAAAGCCATGAATAATGTAACATCCCAAAAATTAAGGATAAAAATGTCATTTTTATTATAATCAAAACACATATGTAACTTGATCCAAATATTTAAAAGCATTTATAAATAAAACAATTATCAGAGTTAAATCCCAAAATCATATATTGCGGAAAACACGGGTGTATGCGCTGCGATCAAGTCGGGCCCTTCCCTTTCGAACTGGAAGTACCTGAAACCATAAACCACAAACTGTAAGCACAAAGTTTAGTGAGTTCCCCAAATACCACATACTAATCGATCCATAAATATTATTCATATCATCGAGCCATACATATCATACATATATCAAAATCAATAAAGGTGCTATGTGTCATCCATAGTCTTGCCATTATGCCACGAGTCACCACGTGGACTTCCTTGCCAAGACGGGGGCCAAAAACTTGGGTCTTATAGACAAGTGCCAAGAGCCACCTCCTGGTCTTCCATGCAAGCATCACAAAGATAACTAGCATACAATCTACCATTAGTAACTAATTAACTACCAGAGTTCAGACTCTGGTCTTGCATATAGTTTTCTAGAAGCCACCTCCTGGTCTTTCATACAACTGCCAAGGGTTACCCTCGGGTCTTCCTATTATGCATAAACCAAATGGGTTGGGATTGGTGCCTTTGACCCATAGAACAGTGAGGAGACTCACCTCGAATATAGTCAGTTCTGGGCGTCACCCAGGCTATTTGTTTCTTTCTCATTGGTTGTGAATGAGGAGGAGATCACATGGGATGTTTTTCCCTTGTGATGAGAAATGAGTTGTCGCTCCAGCTTTGGCTCTCTGAGGCCAAGAACGGGTCTCAACCAAGGCAGTAATGTCTCTGTTACATTTAACGTGGTCGTTAGGTAACGTTAACAAGTCCCTTAGACCAGCTGGCTTCTGCATTTGTGGCGTAGCAGAGCTGTTCTGGACTACTCATAGATACGTGGCAAACTACTATTAACAGCTTATACAGTTGGCAGTGCGAAATCGCCGTTGTTCGGCGGTTTCATCATGAGGACGGTTTGTTGCCTCATTGATGGCATTAAAAACCCAGTTCTTCCTGGCGTTTTCCTCATTGCCTTCTACTTGTTCTTGAGGAAAACCCTTTAAAACTTTCCTTCGTATTTTCCATGGCTACTGCTCGCGCTTTAAGAAGAGATCTTACCATCGAGGAATGGGAGTCTTTCGAGTTCCGATTCGGGTTCATTCCCGAACACGGCATGCAAATTCCCTTACATGATGCCTCTTTGTACAGTCCTCCAGAGGTCAAAGTTGGGATCCCAATCTCCTTGTTTGAGGTAGGTCTACACTTGCCTTCCACCGTTTTCTTCAACATGATAATCCTGGAATACATGTTTTTAGTAAGGGAGTTGACCCTTATCATTATAAACAAGATAATCAGATTGGAACTCCTTTGTTGTGCCCTAGGCTTCTTCCTGACCCTTCTTGATTTCAAGCACTTCTTTAACGCCTCCACTCAGTCGGGGACTCGAACCCTTTCTCGCCATCGGGGAGTTCCTACTCTTATCCACGATAAGAAGTCTAAGAAGAACTGGCAAGCGAAATTATTATGGATGAACAACGATCTCGTAGTACTTAGTTACCCGAGGACTAAGTTGTACATTGACCGAGCCCCGGTGTTGTTTGGCGCTGACAAGGAACTGGTTGATGCCCTGGAGAAGATCAGCATCACCGATAAAGATTGGCTTGACTGTTTCTTGGCCGTCGGTGAGATGAGTGCTGCTTGGAGGGCTCGTAGGAAGATTCCTGAATTCTTTGTTGAGAAAGATGGTATCTCTTTTGCTTTTCCTCTCTTCCCCTCCCCCCCCCCCCCCCCCTTTTCCCTTTTTATATGAAAAGATTGGCAAGTTATGTTTAAAGCGGTGCTTTGGCTAAACCGATATTGTTTTTTGTTTTTACTAGGTGTGGAGGAGATTATTTATTTAGAGAAACCTCTACTGGGTCTGTTCGACGGCGAGCTTCAGGTTCGTAACGTTGACCTAGTAGAGGCTCTTCCACCTCTTTTTTCTGGACAAGGACTCACGGCCACTGCCGCATCTGACAGTGTTACCGTCGTTGGTAAGGATCCGGACCTACAAGATGTTGTCTTCATTGGTGCTTCTGAGAAGGATCCTACACCGTCCGGGTCCCCGAGGAGTCTTCGTTGGGTTAAGAGGTGTTTTGCACTCTTGGAAGCCTCTTTCGTTGGTCGAACTGAGGCAGCTAGCACCGGGCCCCCTCTATGTAAGAAACGTAATTTAAGTCTCTTGTTGGCGGTTCCAAGGATTCCAACCGTGCCCCCAATGAAGGTCCTCTGAAACTGCTGGATGGGGGCACAAATCGGGGAGATTGAATCGCTATGTCATACGGGAGAAGGAAGCACCGATAAAACCATCCTCGTTCCCACAATCAAACGATTCAGGACAAAGAATGGTTCTCTACCTACTCATGGTCTTGTCTCCACCTCTTCTGGTAAAAACACAACCACCCCTACTAATGGTTTCTCATCCAGATGCCTATAAGCCATCTTGGAGGCTAACTACTCAGGATCTTGTCTCCGATTACGATGCCGCTCTCGAGTGGTGTCAGCATGCATTTCCTCCTGCCAAGACTGAGGCCCTAAATGTCCTGTACGATGAGCATATGTTTGATGGCTTGTGTTATGCTGCCGCTCAAGTGTCGTCTTATTTAGTCGTGACCGCCGAACGCATCTCCGAGATGGAGACCCTCCCGTCCGACTTGGACAGGAGGGGCATTGAATGCGAAGAACTAAAGGCCCAAGTGGCGAAGTTAGAAGCCGATAAGAGCGGCTTAGAGGCTAGGCAGGAGGCGGTGTTACTTAAGAGGGCAAGCTTGGAGGATCAAGCGTAAAAGCTAGTGAAAGAGGTGGAGGGCTTGAATGATCGTGTTGGCGTCCTGACGTTAGAGAACGCCAGTCTGAGCAAGAATACGGCAGAGCTGGAGGTTAATCTGGTGACCAAGAACATCGTAAGGGGAGCGGTAGAAAGGGATATTTCTTGGATCCATAGCAACGGGCTTGGTTGGGTTGTAGATAGGTTGATTGAAAGTCCACAATTCCTCCTAGGCTTGGTTCTTGTGAAAGAAGCTTGTGTCACTGTTGGTGTGGAACTGGGTAAAATGATTGTCTGGGAGCAGGTATCCATCAGGGAGGTAGACCCAAATTCGGAGGAGGATATGGCGGCTAGGACTCAACAGATGGAAAATGCCTTGGTGACCTTCACTGAGATGGACTTTCCTGACCATCTTCACTTGGGTGCCCTGGACATAGCTGGGCTTCGTAATCTCTGTCAGGAGTCTTAGAGCGAGGAATCAGTCCCCACTTTAAGTTTTCCTTCTGGTGATGATAACACTCATGTTGATAAGTAGTTTTGTGTTTGGATTGTTTTGATGTAACCCCATTTAACAATATTTTCCTTATTTGTTTGTTGTCTTTGCTGCTCTTTGTGGCCATCTTTTAAGTCAGGGAGTCTGGAAGTTTGACAATGTTTGCTTTTTATGGTTGTTAATCTTTATCTTTATCGCACACTATCTTTCGCCTGATTACTCTGTGTATGGTTTATGTTGGTCATCACATGATATCTACACAGGGTTTGTTTACACCCCTCGTCGGAGTTCTCATGCTAGTGAACTTGTTATGCTCTACTGAAGTTGGTCTTTGAGAGATTTGTTCTAATCTACTGTTTAACAACCTTGGGTGTAGCCAAGATCATCATCTTGAGGCACACCCATTTTTTTAGTTTGTTTTTTATATTCGTGGAAGGTTATGACCCTTCCACACTCATGTCACATGTTATTTAATTGATGAGCATGTTTTAGTAGAAAGGTTATGAGCCTTTTAATGTAAATGCCATGGCTCCCTTCTTGAAACAGTTTCGCCCGTGTGACGTTGGATGATCAGTCCTTGTTGCCACACGGTAATGTACACAACCTCTTTATTTCTTAGATTTGAATATAAGGAGCATCGGAATTGCCCTTTCTATTTACTCTAGTTTTGTTTAGAGCATAATATGACTAAAAATAGTAAAGTAATTTATGTTGATTACATTTACATATTAAAATTAACGCACAATGCGTTAGCTATCATTGGTTCTACCTTTAACACTTGTTTTAAGAGTAGAAGTGGTGCAGGCTCTGTGCATTCCATGTTCTTGGAATAGTGCGCCCGTCTTGAGCTTCTAGGACATAGGCACCTTAATTGTGTGCTTCTATGATTTTGTATGGTCCTTCCCACGTGACACTGAGTTTCCCCAATGGTTCAGCATGGCTAGACTCGTTCTTTCTTAGTAACCATTCTCTGCCTTTGAAGCTTTTGGCCTGGACTTGGCGGTTGTAATAGTTCTCAGTCCGTGATTTGTACAGTGCTTGGCGCATCTGTTCTGCCTCACGTTTCTCGTCGAACATGTCCAGGTCTTGGCGTCGCCCTTCCTTGTTGGCCAACTCCTCAAAACTCTCTGTTCATAAGGAGCCAACAACTATTTCCAATAGGAGGACCACCTCCATCCCATAGGTTAGACTGAAGGGCGTTTCTCCTATGCTTGACCTTGTTGTGGTGCGATAGGACCATAGTAATGTCGGGAGCTCATCCACCTAGGAGGACTTAGATCTGAGTAGTCGTTTCTTCAAACCATTGACTATGGTTTTGTTGGATATCTTTGTCTGTCTGTCATCCTGAGGGTGCGCTATTGATGTGAACCGACGGTGGATTTTCTGGTCTTCACAGCATTCCATGAAGGGACTTCCTTCAAACTGAGTGTCGTCATCACTTATAAGGATCCTAGGAGTTCCAAATCAGGCTAAGATGTTCTTTGTCATGAACTTTATCATCTGCTTGCCAGTGATAGTGGCCAGTGGTTCCGCCTCTATCCACTTGATGAAATAGTCTACGGCTACCAGCAAAAGCTTTACGCCTCCTCACGCTGGTGGAAATGGTCCCACTATATCGATCCCCCATTAGTGGAAAGGCCAAGGGCTAGTGAATCTTATCAGTGGCATGGCTCGTTGATTTTGGAAAGGGGCGAATGCTTGGCATTCCTTTCATTTCTTGGTTAAGGTTGTGGCGTCATTGTATACGTCCGACCAGTATACTCCTAGGTGAAGTATATTGCATGTGAGTGCGCGAGCGCCTTCATGTGCCGTTGTGTCCCATGAATGGCTTTGTTAGATAAAAGTCTACCCTTCTGTCTTAGAAATGCACCTGAGTTATAGGCTTAAATATCCTCTACGGTACAACTGATTGTCCCTTAATGCAAAATGTGATGCCCTGACTTTGACTTTCCTCGCCCTCTGTATATTGCATCCCCCCAGTAGATTTGCTTTATTGAAAAACTTTTGCACATGTTGGCTGAATTATGGACCGCGTCCAGATATTTCTGCATCCTAGGGTCCTTTTGCCTCGTATACTCCGTTTATTTGGTTTGTGATAAGCAAAAAGTCACTAAGAGTTGCTAGTTGTTTTGCACCAACTTCCTTAGCCATCCTTAGTCCAGCCAGGAGTGCCTTATACTCTGCTTCGTTGTTAGATACTTGAAATTCGAACTGTAGTGCTTAGGTGATCTCTTCACCTTTGGGGCTTTGGAGGATCAGGCTTGCGCCTAAGCCTTCGTTTCTTGCTCGCCATTGGTATACAACTTCCAAACTTACTTGCCGGCTTTAGGCTCTAATGGGTCGACAGAGATTATCGTCGGCACTCCCTTGATGGTATCTGGGATTTCAACCAGGAAGTCAGCAAGGTCCTAGGCTTTGATGCTAGATTTGGGGTGGTATTGGAAGTCGTGTTCACCCAATTCTATGGCTCGCTTGGCTAGGCGTCCAAAATTTTCCGACCTTAGTAGCACTTGTTTTATTGGGTAACTGGTTAGAACATCCATCGTGTGGGCTTGGAAATACCTCCGTAAACGTCTCACTGCGTAGACCAGGGGGAGGACCAGTTTTTCCAAGGCCAAGTAATTTACCTCTGGCCCTTTCAAGGCCCTTCTGACAAAGTGAATAGGTATTTGCTTGCCTTCTCTTTCCACCGCTAACACAGAGGAGATAGCCTCCTCAGACACTGTTAAGTACATCTGTAAAGTCTCCCCTGGAACTAGGCAGGCGAGATTCTGGAGTTGCTGCAGTGCGTATTTCAATTTTTTCAAGGCCACGTCCGCTTCCTCTGTCCATTTGAATTGATTTTTGTCTAAGCATCCTTTGAGTGTTTAGTACAGAGGAAGCGCCTTCTCTACAGATTTGGCAATGAACCTTCCAAGAGCCATTAATCTCTTGTACTCCCTTAAGGTTGTGGGGAGTTTTCGACTCGAGGAACTCTTGTATTTTGGTGGGATTGGGTAGAATCCCTTCCCTGGTCACTTGATAGCCAAGGAATTGCCCTTCCTTGACTCCGAAAGTACACTTAGTTGGGTTTAACTTCATCTGCACTTTGACTAGAATTTGGAAGGCTTCTTCCACGTCTTGGAGTAACATTTATTCAATGCAACTTTTAAATACCATATCGTCAACATAGACTTCGATATTCCGTCCAATTTGGTCGGCGAATACCTTGTCCATCAGCCTCTGGTAAGTAGCACCCTCGTTTTTGAGCCCAAATGACATTTTCTGATAGTAGCAGGTGCCATTTTCGGTATGAAAAGTTGCTTTTGCTTCATCTTCTCGCTTCATCTGCACCTGGTGATAGCCCTTATATGCGTCGAGGAAACATTTGAATCGGAAGCCTTCAAGTGATTGAACTTTCTAATCGATCTCCGGGAGAGGATAAAAATCCTTTGGGTAGGCTTTTATTGAGATTTGAATAATCTATGCACATTCGCCATGCCCCCATTGGATTTCTTTACCATAACTGGGTTTGTTATCCATGTGGGGAACATTACTTCCCTGAGTATGTCAGACTCACCAGATCGGCCACTTCTGCGTTAATAATCTTATTGCGGTCTGCCGTATGTCCTCGCTTCTTTTGTTTTACAGGGTTACTCCCAGGTGCTATGTTAAGGATGTGTTCTATGATCTGTCAATCGACGCCTATCAGATCCTTTGGCTTCCAGGAGAAGACTGTAGAGTATTGCCTCAGGAGTGCCACCAGTCGTGCCTTGGTTTCGTCTGTTAAGTGTGTGCCGATTTGCACGAGCTGCTCTGGATACTCCATGTTTATCTGGTGTTGCTTGGTGGAGCATCCCTCCTTGGACTTCTTTGGCGTGCGCACGAGCTTTGGAAGCGGCTATGATTTGGTGGCAATGTTGTTCTCTGGTGTTTGTGGCGAGGACCACCACCGATCCCTGGCATGTTGTGAATTTAATGATGACATGTATCGTCAATGATACGAGATGCAGTAAAGCGATTGTTGATCGTCCAAGCAGAATGGTGTGTTATGTTGGGTATCAGATCACAGAGAACTGAACTATAATTATGATTCGGTCCCTTTCGTTGTGGCTGACCAACGTTAAGGGAAACCAAATAGATCCTAGTGGCCACAAGCTATGCCCGGTGAATCCTACTAATGGTTCACCGGTTGAGGGTCGGAGCCCCTCCTTCCACGTGTCAGGTAGCTGCTGGAAACAGTACCCATAGAGTATATCAGAGCAAATACCATTGTCAATGTATATTCGGTGGACCTTTGTGTTATAAATAAATCATGATACGAGGAGTGGGTCTCGTGGATCCCAATTTGATGGTCTGGGATCGCTGCTCGAGAAATTGATGTTGAGTAAGTTTCTCGAGAGTTCCTCGTTCTCGTTTTCTGCATGGTGAGGTGTGTTTCTCTTATGTGAGTTAGAGATAGTGAATACCTCAGTGCCATCATATGGATTCGTCTGCAACATATTGGGATGTGATATCGCCATCTGAGGTGATGAGACATCCGATGATAGTTGTAGGAAATTGCTCTAGAGCGGTGGTTCTGTTGTTCTTATCGTAATTGGCGGGATCTGTGCCATCAGCACCTGGAGTGGTTCGTGCGTTCTGAACAGAGCTTCTACTACCATCCCAGATATTATTGGTCTTATATCCCCCTTATGCAAGGAACCAGCATCATCTATTGGCTGTACCACTCTGAGGATACTTCCGGATGGCACCAAATGTTGTGACATGTTCGTAGATGTTCTAGATGCTGAAGGATGGATCTAACTTGGTTGCTTTCCCAAGAATACAATCACAGAAGAACCGTTAGAGGACGACCGGGTGTTCTTCTAGGACGTCGCTCTGACGATTAAGTTAGTCTAGAGTGAGAGAGAAATTTTAGGGTAATCTTCGTGAGAAAGAAGATGGATCCCTCCCTTGAGACGGAAGAGATCATTTTATTATTGTTACTAATGGATCGTGGGGACCATGCCTTGTAAGCGTGAAATGTGGCTTCCTCTTACTGGGAGAGCTATTCACGCTAACTAACCACCAGGTGACGTCAGTTTTGGGTGTCACCTAGGCTATTTGTTGCTTTCTCATTGGTTGTGAGTGAATGAGGAGATCACATGGGATGTTCTTCCCTTGTGACGAGAAATGAGATGTCGCTCCATCTTTGGCTCTCTGAGGTCAAGACCGGGTCTCAACCAAGGCAGTAACGTCTCTGTACATTTAACGTGGCTGTTAGGTAATGTTAATACAATCCAATCGAGCCACTTCACAAACTACATTCATCCGGGACCACATGTAACACACAGTTTTTCAGGTAAAATCCTTATTCATTAAGTGTTTAATTATGATGTATAGAGACCAAGTATGTTGTGCATACCTCAAACATCCTTGGACACGGGGTGAGCCCCCTGGTACGCTAGGAGTACTAATGGTACACCGGGCGTATGTCAACCAGGGGAAAACCCTAATTTTTAGGGTGTGAACCCTATTTAAACACCTTATATCCCAAGGCTCTCTCCTCATCACCCTCTATTTCCACTTTTGAGCACTATCTCGAAACGCTAGCCCATTTCTCAAGAGGTTGACCCTTATATGTATTTTGTTGTGTGTGTGTGTGTGGTGTATATTGAAGAAGAAGAAGAAACCTTGTAGAAGAGCATTGAACAAGTTGGAGCTTATAGATCTAGGTTTTATTCACTCTTTTCAGCTTATTGAAGGTATAAAGTCTTGACCTTGCTTATCTTATGTCTAAATCTAGAATTGGTTGAGATTTTAGCATATATTGGTCCCATGAATGAGTTCTTGTGAGTAAATATTACTCCATAAGTTATAAGATGTTTCTGAGGTCCTTAGTCCATAAAGTTTGCATCTTGATGGTTGTAGATCAAGCATGCATGAGTTAGTGATCATTTGATGGAAGTAGAATACTAAATCTAGGGTTTGAGTCTCCTTGAGCCATGCAAAGGTATCAAGATGGTAACTTCATTGTTTAAGATGTCCCTAAAGAGATAGATCTGAAAGATGGACGTTGGACTTGAAGCATTAAGTGCTTAATGAAGTCTTCGCTGGATGGGGAATATGTCAGGCGTACCTAAGCGTACCCGGAGCGTATGCGGCTGAATCCCCAATCTTCCTTGCTATGAAGCAGTACGTCGGGCGTACGTAGGTGGTATGCTAAGCATACTCACCAGGGACCATTTTGGTGGTTCGGGGCCTTAGGTTTCAGGCCATTATTGGTCCTTAGGTATTGGACCATTATTGGGCCTTAGGAACTTTGAACTTGGGTCATGGATTGAGGGGACCCATTAGAGGAAGGGTTAAAATGGTCTTTTACCCCTTGGCATGTAATAGGGTAATCTGAACCACTCATGGGTTATTACCCTGAATATTGATTAAGGTTAATTGGAATGTTCAATGTGAGGATCCATAGTAGCAGCAGCCTGGGAGTGTGATTTGTCTATCTTTAGACTAAGGTGAGTTCCTTCACTATACTCGTGGGTCGAAGGCACCAATTTCGGCCCACTGGATTACGTTTGTAGGATGATAGTTGTCTTTGTGATAATTAATGTTATGCATGTATGTGCTTGTTGTCTTTGTGACTCTTGCTGATATGATTTTATGCTAGCTATAGGGGTAAAATCATCTTACATCATCCGCTTACTATATATTAATGACATGTTGGTGGTTAAATCCAACATGAAATACATCAACAAGGTGAAGAATCAATTGTCCATAGAATTCGAGATGAAGGACTTTAAAGTTGCTAAGCAGATTCTTAGCATGAACATAGTAAGATATAAAGTTATTGATAATCTAAAACTTTCCCAATAGAAGTACATTTGGAAAGTATTTGAGAAGTTATGTATGGAAAATGTTAATGACATAAACACACCTCTTGAAATTTATTTGAAACTCTCTAAGAAGCAATCCATGAAAACAGAAAAAGCCATATGGAAAATGATTATAGTTCCATGTGTCTCAATTGTTGGTAGCTAGATGTATACGATGGTATGCACTCGACCATGTATTTCTCATTTAGTGGGATTTGTCAATAGATTTATGTCAAATATAGGGAATGAGCATTAGGAATAAGTCAAGTGGTTGTTACACTACTTAAAAGGAACTTCAAAAGTAGCTTTATGTTTCAAGAGGAAGAATGTCTTCTTAAAAGGCTTCGTTAATATTGACTTGGAGGGATATATAGATTCGAGGAAAAAAACAACATGTTATGTGTTCACAATTAGGGGAACAACCATCATTCGGATGTCTATATTATAGAAAAGTTTTTCTCTTTCTACCACTGAAGCAAAGTATATGGCTATAGCAGAAGCTAGAAAGGAACTTATCCGGTTGAAGAATTCTCTATCAAAGTTGGGCATGAAATAAGAAGATTGTGTCTTGTGTTATGATAACCAAAGTGAGGTTCATCTGGTGAAGAATCAGGTGTTTCATGGAATAACAAAACACATTAATATTAGATACCACTTTATTAGAGAATTGATAAATGATGGTGCTTTTAATTTAGAAAAGATTAATAGTATAAATAATTCAGCAGACATGTTTACCAAGCTAGTGATGACAAAACATTGAAGCTATGTATGGCTTCAATTGGCCTTTTAAAGACTTGGAATGAAGGAAAAGACTTGAAAAGGATGGGGTTGACATAATTTGGATCGGTCCCTTATGAGGGCTAAGGATAGTCTCATAGGAAGAAAAACATCTTGAAACAATTCATATAGAAGAATCCAAGGCATCTGACGGAGTTGTTAATGAAAACCTTCAGCCGCAAAGCGAAGATGTTGAGTGCTCAAAGCTTCATGAGAAAAGTTTTAGGAGCGCAACTTTAAGAGCAAAGTTATCTACTACATATGAGATCATAAGTGTAGATAAGAAATATAGCTTCAAGCGAAGTTAGAAGCGAAGACTCAAGACTTGGTAGTAAAGCCAAACACTGAAGAGTGAAGCTTATTACTGGAGCATCTCTTTTGGTGTACATCATGCTTCAGAATTTAGTGACCAGAAGTGGTCTCGTACTTTAAACTTATGTGCGGCCTAGTAACTTGGGAACCATGTTTCCATCATGGGCCATCTTATGTTGATAATGTCATAAGCTATGGGATCTTTTCTAGAAGAAAGTAGGTCGAAATTTTATTATAAAAATTGATCTCTGAGTATGATTGTGACCATATTGATAGCTTGAAATTGAGTGCTTAGATTATGAACTGCATATATGTAACATCTGGATCCTTGAGGTACGAAATGTTAAATAAAAATATGGATTTTGAAGGGATCAAGACATGGGGGAAGCACTGTCACGTCGTGACATGGTCGTGTTATGCGGGACGGGTCATTTAAGTCATGGTGTGACACTATGTGGGCCATGACGTGACACCTAATCAAAGGCAAAACCCTAATTTCGGAGTTAGAACCTATTTAAAGGAAGTGAGGGGCTAAAGTTTCTTTCATCCCCAACCTCCATCACCTCCAAACCTGTAAAAGAAAACCTTATTTTGTATCCTCCATTTTAGGCTCATATTAGTGTTTGTGTTTGATTTTTGGAGGAAGAAGGAGGTCGTGGAAGTGTTGTGAGCATCTTGCCTAGATTGGGGCATCATTTTAGGCATCTTTGGAATTTTGTAAGTGTCCAAGATCCAAACTTTCTTATGCTAGGTTGCTAGATCTAAGATTTTGTCCTATTTTCTTCAAATATGAGATAGTTGGAATGGTAGGATTCCATAAAGTTAGAAACTTTATGGATCCTTGAGGTCTTTGTATATCATATGGTTCAGATCTGGAAATTAAATGTGTATTGGACCCATGCATGTGATCTTTGGTGATTTTCTTCATGATTTGACCAAGTTAGAGTCTTAGACTCACAATGAGCATGCATGTCTAAAAAGTATCGACCTTTAGGTGTTCTTCGATGATATGAGGCTTTCTGGAAAGATTAGATGAATGGATTAATGGGTTGAGAGCTGAATTCATTAAGCTGAGGTGACCAGTTTTCATAACGTGACACCCTTGTTGTCATAATGTGACGACTGGGGTTTTCCCCGATTATCTTGGACTGATTCCGTCACAACGTGATGACCTGTACATCATGATGCGACGATGATTTGGATCGAGGATGAGTTGATCTAATACTGAGTTGAAACATGAATGAGCTGAGTCTGTTTCCCACGATGTGACCATGAGCTGGTCACGACATGAGGGCCAACTAATAGAAGTGTCGACCGTTGACTTTGACCTTAACCATGAAGTTGTTGGCATGGTTTGACTTTTGGTAAAAATAGCTAGTTTTGGAGGTTAGATTAAGGTGGGACCTTCTTTGATTCAATAGGTGTGTTGTAGCACTATTCGCATGGCAGTGAGTTGTGTTTTTAGTTGATTTCATGAGACAGGTGAGTCTTCTCACTATAATGTGTAGCATGCTAACTGTTTTTATGACTCTTGCATTTGTATGTCGGATTAGGCACTTTAGTATTTATGTTAGGCTAGGCCCATTAGTATATATGTTGAGTTGGGCCCATTTGTATGTATGTTAGGTTGTACATATTTGTATGTATGTTGGGACTAGCCCATTTGCATGTTGGTTTGGGACCATTTGTATGTATGTTCGGTCGGGCCTATTTGCCTGTTAGGTTGGGCTCATTTGTACGGTATGTGGTATTTTGGGAAACTCACTAAGCTTTGTACTTACGGTTTTGTGGTTTAACATTTTCAGGTACTTCCAGTTCTAAAGAGAAAGGCCCAGCTTGACTGCACAACATTCCCCTATGATTTACCGCATTGACGAATATTGTTTAACCCTGATCTTGAGATACATTTTATCATGATTGTTTTTGGTGCACTTAGTGTATGAATTGGATGATTTAGAAATGAAAAAATTTATCAGTGATTTTAGGATGTTACAATATACATAATTAATGCTTGAAATTTTTTTAAAAATTAAATGTTGGAACAAGTTGTTTTGAAAGTTGTATTTTATTTCCAAAATGTATGTGTATTACGAAGCATTATTGTTTTTTTTTGTATGTAGAATGTATACTAGGTTCAAGGATGGAATCATATTGTATGGCTTTTCTCTAGATTCTGATTTTTTTTTGTAACCACTAGTTTAGACAAGTGTCCATTTAAGTATGTTTGTGGGACCGAAATTAAATGTTGAACTCAACATTGTCACGCATAATGTCTTTCTATTTATTCTAATCCTTATGGTAATAGGTTGGGTATTACATTCATAATCCAAGTACACAATGTAATATATTTAGCATATTGGTATTTGTAGATAGACAATATATTTTCAAATTTTGATCACCAAGGTTCTCCCAAATGGTGATAGATTCGACCGATAGTGATAAGATCCACCAATTCGTACGACCACATAATGAAAAGATAAAGGGTTAGGTTTTAACATAATGTTTTTTATCTTGAACCTGATGTATATCCAAAAGTCTTGTAATATGTTGTTTTGAACCATATTAAATAACATGTATCTTAATCTTGAAGCTGTGCACTCCATAGATGTTCATTGGATGCATAATTGAGTGCTATCAATCGAGGTTTATACATAATCAGCCATTGTTCTACTTTTCACCATTAGCTCAGTAGGTTCTTGAATAACTTCTTCTTGACAAGGGTTTTTCTAGTTCCTCAACATTTAAAACTTGAGGTGTGGAACGGTGACTGTGATTGTGCACCACAAGTGTGGATATTTCAATTGCTAGATCAAATTGCCATCGGGAGGCCCCTTTCGAATTGTGAGTATGCATACAAACGTAATGAAAATATGCAAATTAAGTAAACAAGAAATTTTTATAAAAGAGAACTTAATATTAAACTAAATGCAAAAAGGGAATATTTTTGGGTTTGTAGGATTATAAAAAATAGTGAAACGAATAAAAAGGGAACTAAACACTAAGAACAAACCTCCCCGATAACAACATTGATGCGTACAACAAAACATATACGTTAGGAACAAACATGTAACTTTGTCTTAATTAATTTAAACAAACTAAACCTAAAGACCAACATTGTCATAAAACCTTGAAAAGGGTTAAAATTGGAAAATTTTGTTAGACCTAAAATATGAACCAAGACATGAAAGGACCAAATTTATGATTTACTTTACGTTTTATTTTTGGTGGCTGAGAATCAACACATCAAAAAATCTGAGAGCCACGTGGCAGAAGAATGACCACTATCTCACACTCAAAATCACAATTCAAATCCAGTAAACCAATCAAATAATGCTGACATGTACTCATCCTAATCCAACAACCTTGTTAAATTCCATATATAACCCTTCAATCTCACACCATCCACAAACACCACCCTCTACAAACCACCGTCCCTTGAATACCCTCAAAAGAAATGGCAACCGCAGCAATCCAACAGTCAGCATTCGCCGGCCAGCAGGCCTTGAAGCCACAGAACGAGCTCGTCAGGAAGACCGGCAGCTTCAATGGCGGCCGCTTCACCATGCGCCGCACAGTCAAAAGTGCACCACAAAGCATTTGGTAAAATTCACAAATCGATGTTCTTCTTGTTTCCAAATTCATATATCGCTACCAGAACTAACTAACTGTAATCACCATCTTTAAACAGGTATGGACCGGATCGTCCAAAGTACTTGGGTCCATTTTCCGAGCAAACCCCATCATACTTGACCGGTGAATTCCCCGGTGACTACGGGTGGGATACCGCCGGACTCTCAGCCGACCCGGAGACATTCGCCAAGAACCGTGAGCTGGAAGTGATCCACTCTCGGTGGGCCATGCTGGGTGCACTCGGGTGCGTCTTCCCGGAGCTTCTCTCCAAAAACGGTGTCACATTCGTGAAGCAGTCTGGTTCAAGGCGGGTTCCCAGATTTTCTCAGAAGGTGGTCTTGACTACCTTGGAAACCCTAATTTGATCCATGCCCAAAGCATTCTTGCTATCTGGGCATCTCAGGTTGTCCTCATGGGGCTCATTGAAGGATACCGGGTTGGTGGGGGCCCGCTTGGCGAAGGGCTTGATAAGATTTATCCGGGTGGGTCTTTTGACCCGCTTGGATTGGCTGATGACCCGGAAGCTTTTGCTGAATTGAAGGTTAAAGAGCTTAAAAACGGAAGATTGGCGATGTTTTCTATGTTTGGATTCTTTGTTCAGGCTATTGTTACAGGGAAGGGTCCGATTGAGAATTTGTTTGACCATCTTGCTGACCCGGTTGCTAACAATGCTTGGGCTTATGCTACCAACTTTGTGCCCGGAAAATGAGTGTAATATGTGTAGATTTAAACCCTTATGCAATATCAAGAAATTATTTCACTTAATCTTCTGATCTTTATTTTCTTGAGTTAATATCTTTATGATTATGTTATGGAAGTGGTTCATGTTGTAGAAGGGTTGTCACCCAACAAATAAACTTGAGATTGAGTAGAACTAAATTTATATTATCTTAAATATTACTAAAAGAGAAACTTTATGACATCATCTTAAATAATTTGGACCATTGATTGTATTTCAATCTTATTTTTTCCACACTTAGATCAAATTGCTGACATAATCTTCCGTTATGGAATGTATTTAATTCCATAAATGATTTCCAATCATCAATCAATAACTTACATTCGGTGAAATGGAATGTATTTAATTCCAACAAAAGCTTTCCATATTTTACATCTTGAATTTTCAGTTATGAAGATTTTAATATGATCAATTTTAAAAATATATTACTAACAAATCATTTCAATCAAGACCTTAATATCAACCATTAATATAAATCCGTTTATATTAGTAAACCAGTAATATAAAATCTTTTTTTATTAGGAAATCATTAATACCGAAAAATCATATTCAAATTATCACATAAATATACGATTCATCATTGAATCCGCGACTCACATTTATTTTCAATAATTTCTTTTTTTCAAACATTCTCCTACAACATCATTAATATTGCTTATAATTTCCATCATCATTCTCTGCTATTAACATTCGCTCTTGTGCGCTAGAAGGTTAGTATCTTCTTTCGCTTTTTATATATTTTTCGATCATTTTTTGTTCCTATATCAAATGTATGTATTCATATATTTCGATTTTCTTTGTCACAAATTACATGAAATCAGTTAACTACTTTTCTGAAACTTTTCAAATAAACATGAAAAGGTATTAGGTACCTTTAACAAAACAAAAATTAACTATCCTGGTAACTGATATTAATTACGAAAATGTTACTTTTATATATTAGAGATGATTATGATTTTTTTTTTTAATTTTTATGTCATAAGAATCTGGTTAATTTTGGTATGATTTTAAAATATCATTGAAATTATTATGTTTTTATATATCATATCAACCTACTTTTTTATCTTCGTATAGTAACAATAAAATTTATTAATTTACACAACAAATATAGATATTTCAAATTTTGTAATATTATTATACCTTACAAAATACAAATCCTTCCAAAATAAATTTTCGTCAGTAATTTCATCCATAATTTCAACAAATTTAAATTTGTATTTTCTTTATATAAATTTTTTTTAATGATCCTGATTTTTTTTCTCCAAAAGTATATCAAACATTTACGTTTTAGATAATGCTGCCCTATTATAATTATTATTTTCCAAAAGTATATCCATTTAATGAGAAATTTGATATAATAAAGGAAGTAAATGTTAATTAAAATGAGATATATATTCTATAATTATTACATGAGTTTATTAAAAAAATTAACATCAAGGTGTAAACATTAAACATTTTTAAAGTGAAATTTCAGAATACATACAAACGATAATGTTGTACAATGAAATATAAAATTGAATAGATTGGGAAAAAAAAACATTATTAAAGCAGTCAATCTTAAAAATAACATAGTTATGAAAAATTATAAAGTAAGATTAAAATTATAAGATATTAGGAGATTTGTAAAAAGTACATTTAGTAAAAACATTACGGTTATTAGAAAAAATAAGACTGTTAAGATTAGTGAAAATATAATATATAAACTAAATTATCACAATAGTAATGAAATGTCATTATTTGATATTTCATATAATTGACAGATATATCAAATTAAATTGATATACTAAAATTATTCAAAGTTGCGTCAAAACTAATGCAAAATTTTTGCGAACACTAAATAAATAAGAACAAACATAAAAGCTAGCATTTATATTTATAATCTATTTCAAATAAACCAATCATGATTTATAAAAGAATCTCCATTGATGATATACTAAAATTAAATCTATATAAAATTTAACATTTTATAAATTATATTACATAACTTTATTTGAATAAATGAAATAGTTGTTAATATTTAATGCAATAGAAAAAACGGTATATTGATTGTCAATATATGTTTAAATTAGGTAACATTATTATGCAATGAACGTCTAATTAAAATGCTTATAAATATATAAATATCATAACTATATAAGACGAGGAAAATCGTTCAACTAATAAAACAAAAAATGATGTCTACAAAGAGATCTTTCAATGATTATATATATATATATATATATATATATATATATATATATATATATATATATATATTTATCGTTTTCAATGTATTTTCTACATATTTCAATAATACCAATAACCATATATTTTTTTATAATCATTATACAATATCTATAAACGATTATATGATTTTTTATGCGTTTCCCGCGTTTAACGCGGGCTATAATCTAGTTAAAATATTAAATTACTTTTACAAAGTCAAATCATGTAACTTCAACTCAACTTCACAAGTTTTCACCAATAATCCATACAAGAACATGAACCATTTTTGAAATGATGATAACGATTATTATCCCTAACAATAATTTCACGATCATAAATCTTGGATAAAAGCTTTGTAACCGAGTGACAATCATTACAAACACGAAGATTCTTCACTATCCGAATTGGAATCCCGGGTTTATAATTAATTAATCCAAAAGCAATTGCTAACCTCTCACTATGGCTTTCCAATTCAATCTCCTTCTCATTGTCCCCTTCAATATGAAGCAAAACTTGGGATTTATCGGGTACATGTCCCACAATTTTCAATCTCTCCCTAATCTCACTCAACTTATTGTATATTTCATTACTTTGTGGGTGTGATCTATCTCCCACAATAAACTCATGAACACCATTTTCAAATTCGATAAAGCTACACCCCGGATCTTTTTTCAATCCCATTTTCCTCATTGTTTCTCTAATGTGCGACACTTTGTCCCAATTATTAGTTGTGGCATACATGTTAGACAAAAGGAGGTAACTTTCAATACATTTTGGATCGATTTGTTTCACATGGTGTCCCGCATATTCCCCAATTTCAACATTTTTATAGATTCTTGAAGCGCTAAGCAAACTCATCCAAACTATCTTGTTTGGTTTCATTGGCATTGATTCTATCACATTTTTAGCTTCTTCAAGACAACCCGCACGACAAAAGATATCCACAAGACAACCGTAGTGTTCGATTGTAGGTTCGATTTTATAATCGTTTACCATCATATCAAAGAATCTTTGACCATCTTTGACCAAACCCGCATGATTACACGCGTTCAATACACCAATGAATGTTATACCATTAGGGATGATGTTGACTTTTAGCATTTCTTGAAATAATTCAAGAGCATGGTTAGCTTGTCCATGGGTTCCTAGACCTACTATTATAGCAGTCCAATGAGCTAACTTTTTGTTGTGTATAGATTTGAATATCTTTAAAGCACTCTCGATGCTTCCACATTTGCAATATGTTTCTATTAATGAAGTACCGAGTATACCATCTAATTTATGAGTATTTTTTACTATATAGGAATGAACCCATCTTCCCTTTGTGAGGAGAGCTAAATAGGAGATAGCAGATAGAGTGCTGACTAAAGTACTAGTAGTGGGTATATAACCTGAATTTAGAAGTTGGGTGAACAACTTTAAAGCTTCTGAAAATCTTCCATTGCATTCATACCCTGCTATCATTGAGTTCCATGTGATTATATCTTTGTCTTCCATTTGATCAAACAAGCTACGGGCGGAAAGAAAGTCGCCTGCTTTCATATACCCATTAATCATTGCGTTCCAGGATGGTAAGTTTCTGCTTGGCATTTCATCGAACACCTTTCGGGCATCACCAACTTTGCCATGTTTGGAGAGTCCGTCAACCATCACAGTCCATGAGACGACATCTCTTTCTGTCATCTCATCGAACAACTCCTTTGCAAGTTCAATGTTACCAGATTTTACATACCCATCCATCAAGGAGTTCCATGAAACCAAATCTTTTTCAGTCATTCCATCGAACACCTTCCGTGCGGAATTAATATCTTTGAATTTGGAATACATGCTGACCAAACTGCTCTGAACGAATACTTCATCCCTAAACCCGATTTTCAAAATCAACCCATGAATCTGCTCCCCTTCTTTTGTTGCCATTAATCTTCCACACGCTTTGATCACACAAGGCAGAGTAAAAACATCAGGCATTAAACCCGACCGTGACATAAATTCAAGAAACATTAAGAGGGATTCCTGTGACCGCTGATTTTCGACGTAGGATTTGATGAGGGTGTTCCAAGAATGCAATGTTGGTTCTTGAATTTGGTCGAACACGGATCGGACATGATCAAGACTGTTGCATTTAGAGTGGGTATAGAGAGATATAAGGCGAGAAGATATCAAAGGATCATGAAAAGTTGCTGTTTTGAGTGATACAGCGTGTAATTGAGCAGGTTCAATTGGGGTTCTACAGATTTGGAAAGGATACGGGTTTGATGATGGTTGAAGAGAACCAGAAGCTGTGACTTGGAGCATTCTGAAAGGCAAGTGGAAATTAACAACAGTTGTAGGTCTTGTGTGATGGATAATTACTTAAAACCAAGAACTCTGTTGTTATTGATCGACTGATAATAGAAAATTTCGCAGAGCAGTGAAGACAATTGTTTGGATTTGCCGCCGAAACTTGGATTTCCTTTTAGATGGATTGACTAAAAGGGTGCCGTTTGCCAGTTGCCACTACATTTTTTAATGACTGGACAATTATATCCTTTCCTCTATTTTACATTTTACGGTTTTACCCCTCCTGTTGCTATTCTATTATGGTAAAAATCAAAGGGTTATAACTTATAACACATAAGTATGTTGCTATTTTCCCCTACTTTTTTTTGGGTCAATGAGAAATATGTTGCCTCTTTTCAAAGAAACGCAAAGGTACCAAACAATATTTGTTATTAATTTTCCAAATATCAATTTATTTTCAGTTGTTTTTTGACAAGAGGAATGTG